TAAAAAAAAAAATATTTCACAAAAAAAAAAAAGTGTCACAGAAGTTACACTCAGTTTAATCCACACAAAACCAGTGTGTGCTTGATTTTTTTTTGCTTCTAAACAACATGGTTATGTTGGTCCATCAACACCAAACCAGCTCTAATTAGCGGTACTAACCCTAACCGTAATCTAATTTACCCCCATAAATTCCTAGCTCTTCAGATGATCTCCGATCATTCCACTAGCGTGCTTTGAAGTGTAGCATTTCTCTCATGTGCTGTCAATGATGGCTTTCATATAGATTATCCACGCTCCACTATTTGCCCATGTCGGTCACTAATGCAGACTGTAGATCCTAACATCATCACATATGTTGTCAAAGAGCCTTTGTGTGTTTTGGAACCCAGGGAGCCTTCTTCAACTGATCTGACCTGACCTCTCTGTTTGTTTTCCCCTTGTCCAAACCCTTAGTCACCCACCACGATCCTGAGAACACCTTCAACAGTATTATCGAGCCGCCCTCCGTGGTGGACCAGCCTTCTCCATCATGGTCATCCCAGGAGTCCTTCTCTTCCTTCGAGACGAGCGAAGACGGGCCCGTCTACTGCGTACCCCACGAAGGTGAGTGGGAACTAGTGCAGATAAGCCATCTGTTTGTGCAACATGGAAAACAGATGAGGGAGTTAAGAAATCTCCAGACAATTTTATTAAATGACCCCATTCTGTGGTAAACGGTTGCCCTCTGGGTGCATATCACGTGCATTGAGATAACACAAACAGTAAATGCTATAAATGGCCAAGTCAGCAGATGCAGCACTTTCAGGATGTGACTCAGAACTTTCCGCATAAACTGTTGTGTGGGAGATTGCTGGAGAACTGATATAAAAGCATTTTAAGCAAAAACTGTTTAATCTTAATGTGCAATTTTGGTGTTTCATAAAGCATATAATATTCTTTAGGGGTCCTTATTTTCTTCTGTTTCTATAATAATCTAGAATTCTTGCTTGGTTAGTTGTTTTTAAAAACTTAGTACAGTGAAAGGTTACTAGCTTAAGATTTACTGAATAATGCACAAAATATACTGTATACTGTTACTGCAAAAAAAAAAAAAAAAAATGTTCAGAAATAACCAGGAAATTAGGTTTAAAATACTAACAAAACAGTGTTGTACTAAAACTTCAAAATGTTTGTGTTAATTGACACATTAAGCTATCTATCTATCTATCTATCTAGACACACACACACACACACACACACATAACAGTAGAAATGTTGCCAGAAATGTGGTAACTGATTGATATAAAATGTGCTAAAGTACTAAAATTACTAAAAAACTGACATGAAAATAAATTAAAGATAAATAGATATATATAAAAAATAATAATATGATAAAAGCAGATAAATTTATTAAAATTAAACTGAAACTGAAAGTATAAAAATAAAAGCTAATTCAAAATATTAATAAATACTATAATAGTATGTAAATAAAACTAAACTAATACTGCACCAAAAGTGCCTAAAATTTGTGTTTTTGAATAAGTCGTTGCTTTAATAATCACCCATAAGACTCACTCACATAGACAGTCACTTGTTCTGTTCATGATTTAATCAATGTTTTTGATCAGTTCAATGAACTTCTCACTGAGTGACTCACTCAAAAAGACTTATCGGCACCTACTGATGTATCAATGTTACATGAAAAATACATAATGCACAAAGACTGGAATTTAGAACAAAACCATTTAAATTACAAATATAAACAAAGATGTGTTAAAAAGCGCAGCTGATATTCTTTCTAGTTAATTCATCACACAGGAAATGGCCAGACAGTTTTTCTTTTGATTTTATGAAGGTTTTTGAGATGTTTAATAAGTAGAACTAAGACTTTATTAGTCAAAAATATCTTTCTCTTCTACTTACCCTTTCCGTTTACTCGCTTGCATTTTTCAGAGACTACGAATGAGAGCTATGACAAGCGAAATTCTAGCGCTGCTCAAGAAATACCACCGACCCCCAATGATGAGGACGCAGGAGAGTACACATCCCTCAAAGACACAAGAGAAACTACAAAGCAGTACGTTAGCGATGGGAGCGAGCAGCCTCTCCTGAAGTCTTCAGACAGCGAGGGCTCCACCAGTGGTTCTGAGTCAACCATAGGAGCTGTTTACGCCCATGTCGCCCGCCTTTCCAAACACTCCAAAGAGGAGGAGGACAACGCCTCACCGGAGAAGACAAAAGAGAAGACGAAACCTCGTCCTCCAGACCCTTCTACCAAACCGAAGTTGTCCTGGATCCACGGAACATCTGGAACCAACCCAACAGAGCAAAGCCAGACTCCATCACCACAAAAAGAGAAGAGGAAGAACAACACAGAAAGTTCTGGAAAGGTTGGTGAGAAGCAGCGGTCAAAGGAGAAGTCGAGCAAGAACCGTGAAAAGCATCAGGACGGTAAGAAAGCAGATGGACCCGAATCACCAAGCAAAAGCAAATCTCACAAAGCTTCAGATACCATTGAGCACCTCAATGGAACATTCCAGAACGCCCTGAAGAAGATCGGAAACTTCCACTCAGACAAGAAAACAAACGACACCAACAAAGATCCACCCAAGAGCCCAAAGATCATGCATCCGCACATGAACTCTGAGGCCGCCACGCTACTCGCGGCTCAGTTGAAGGAAAAGACCCAAAGCCTTAACCGGAACGAAAATCTCACGGTGGGCATCAAGCCCAACGGTGTGTCAACACCTCAAGCCAACCGAGAGAAACCCACCCCACCTCAAAAGACCAAACGCTCTGCAACTGGGACCAACAAGCCCCTTCTTCCCACCTCCAGCAACCTCCAAAAGATGGTGGCTCCAATTTCAGACTCTACACCTGAACCTAAAAGCCCAGAAAAGCTAGGGGTTAATGGGACAAGAGTTGAAGGAGACGCCACCCCAAAGAAAACGCCCATCAAAAAACCACCGAGGAAGAAAGGAAAGGAGGGAATACTGGAGACGGAAGGCAAAACCACTCCAAAGACGGCCATTATGCCACCTCAGACTGTCAAGTAGATCTTTGATCACATTGGTGTGTCCATTTTTGAGAATATAAACGTACAGTTTTTCTTTCGTTAAACATTATATAGGAATTGGATGGATTTTTTTTTTTTAAATGGACGAGCTGCTTATAGGATTTAATATTTTGTTGGATTGTGGTTCTCGTTAACTCTTTGAAGACCAGGAATCAGAAATGACGTCATGGCTTGTGTACAGTATTAAAAAGGAAGAGTAAACGAATTTAATGCAATAAGCTCATCTTGTATGCTCTCAGTTTTACATATGCATCACTCCACGTCCAAAGAGAGATTTTCCAATACTATCGTAATTGTGTGATCAGCAGGTTTTTGTGTCTGAAAGGTTGTATTTAGCACTGTTTTCATAGGTGTAAAGAATGAACCAAAGTTACTTTAAAGGTACAGAATGAATGATTCCAATATTCATTTTCTCTCAGGCTGTATCAGTATAGTCAATACCTTGTAAACGATGTCATGAAGAAAATTCTCTGTCTGGGTTCTTAGACATGTCATTTGATTCACGTTCACCAGTACTTCACCTTGCATCATGCTTTTTAAAGGGGTCATATGATGCGATTTCAATTTTTCCTTTCTCTTGAAGTGTTACAAGCTCTTGGTGCATAAAGAAGATCTGTAAAGTTGCAAAGACTAAAGTCTCAAATCCAAAGATATATTCCTTATAAAAGTTCAGAGTCAGCCACACCTACCTAACGGCTCGTTCTAACACGCTCCCACATACCTACGTCGCTCTGTGGGAAGATTTGCATAACGCCGCCCAAATGTTCACGCAAAGAAAGAAGGCTTAACTTTTATTCTCACTGTAGCTCGTTTGTAATTGGTTTTAATGTTTTTGTCTCGTCGCTCCGGCCGGGGACACACCATCAACAGTATGGTGAGGGGCGTAACATTTCCGTCACACACTTGAGGTATTCGGCCAATCACAACGCACTGGATAGCTGGCCAATCACAGCACACCTCGCTTTTTCAGACCGATGAGCTTTGTAAAATCGACGCGTTTCAAAAAGGCGGGGCATAGAGGAGAAACAATAATGTACAGTATGTGGAAAATAATGTTTGTTTTACTTTGAACCGCATAAACACATTTCATTACACCAAATGCACAACATAATGTTCTTTTTAGCAGCATCATATGACCCCTTTAAGCTTAAAATGATATTTCTTGCAAATCCACAGTGATGTTGAAGCTTAGCACTAGTTCTTGCTTTTCTCATAAAGTACCCACAATCGGTAATGCATTTTTTTTTTCAGGCCAGATAAAGACCCCATATTATCTGTTTTTTTTTTTGTTTGTTTTTTGGCTTTTAGTCTGTGCATGTTGGCGTTCATGCTCTTTATATGATATTATAGTTCTAAAAGTTCATAAAATAAGTACAGTTATACAACCTTTCTCCTCTGGGATAGATCTTGTACACTGGGGAGTATTCAAACTCTCATCCAATAAAATGCAGTCCTTGCTGAACTTCCTGATGAAATAGGAAATACACAGGGAAAAAATGACAATGTTTCAATCAGTTTTGAACTTGTTGTTGAAATTTGCATTAAAAATCAGCACTTAAATGATTCTTTTTATGCCTTGAAAATCTCACATGCTTTTCTGTACATGACTGAAAGTTTCTATAGCATAACTATGCCATTACTATAGTGCTCCCTGGCATTTTATGAAAAATAATTGCCATACATTATTTATATATACAGTATACACATACATACAGCAGTTGCAACCTACAAACTTTTACCATCAAATATTATTTGTCCTGCCATAGAAACAATGTAATGCTTTAAAGATGCCAGTTTAAAGCAACCTACGAGTCCGATTAAAGGTTATTACCTTAATTATTCATTCCTCAGAGTTTGCCTTGACTATACAGTTGCAGGAAATTTAATGCAACCAACAAAAATATGTTTTCTGTGGCTAAAATGAACACAAGAATGGCTCATGACTGCAGTGTGTTTATATTTTTTAAGCTTACTTTCTAAAACACCCTATAGCACTTGCAAATACTTTTTAGGATGACACCAACAGAAAGAATTCATGAAAAACTGGATGGTTATTTTTTAACAAAGAACCCAGGGTTAAATGTTCAATCTGGGTCTGCGGTATTTTTAAGCAAGCTTTTCGATTGTGGTGTACAGTAACTGCTATTCCCTCATATGGTACCTTATATTTTTCTACATGCTAAGATATTTTGTAATAATATTTTTACTCTCATTTGTAAGCTGTGCTTATACAACTTATATCTTGCTTTTTTTATTTTATGTGTGTGTCAAATGAACTGGTTTTCAATTTTGATAACATTTTTTTTATGTGCAAGCATCAGGTACATTTGGATTTAATGTTTAAATATCTTTCTGTTTGCTTTCAAAATATCTTTTTCACATTTCTCTGTGGATGTTATTGTTTTTTTTTTCTATGAACGATAAACTGCATGATGCAGAGTTCAGTGAGAGATCGCTGAGAGATATCTATGCATGTTAGCCCATATTCTGTTTTTGCTGTTCTGTTACTTGGGACCTATGACAGAAAACGACTTTTCATGTTTTTGCACGAATCCAGAACCTTACCATCTGCACGCAGTATATGACTTTATGGGAGTATGAATAACAGATTTTTCTACTCTGACTTCGGCATGAGCTTTGACTAAAGTTCAGCCTTAAAATATGGAGCATTATCAGTAACATGCATTATCTTCATTCATTTTGTCCTGATGTTTGCCTTTCTATGTTGTTGATGTGTGGTTGTTCAGTTACCGTATTTGAAATAAAATCAAACCTGTAGCTCATGAATCTAAAGGGTACAGATATCAAATGGCTCTCCCTTCAACATTCAGTATATAATATAATATAATATAATATAATATAATATAATATATTTAACTAAGATACAAAAGACAATATTTTACATTGAATCTATAAAATATTATTTAATTGTACTTGTGCTTAAAATTGTAAGAGTCCATCTTACAAAATAAGTCATTAAAAGTATGTGTG